AAATCGAGTTACATCTGTGATGAAGAATTAAAAGGGTATCTATAGGATTGAGTATGCGGAGTGAATGAAATTTATTGGGTTAATCTAACGAGATAGTGAGTGGATACAAGATTGTGAGTATAAAGCGGTATCGAAGATTAGCAGTTTGGGTTATTCGGGGTTCTCTGTAACGTCTAGAGACTTACCGGCTCGGACAAAAAGGACTTCGGCAAGCAGTCGAAGGGCATCTGTATAGACTTACGGTATATTCTTTCAGTTGTTTATATTCCAACAGTCAAAAAACCGATAGACTGTTTGAATATTAGCGAATCTCCATACTACCTTCTACAACCAGACGCCCGGTGCGTTCTCGAGCAGGAAAGCACGTTATACGACAACGTATCACATGTGTTAGTAGCTTAAAGAACAAGCTAACTATATGATGCATAAATAGATAACTTACCTTAGAAGTTAAAACATGTGTTTATCAAAGTCAACACATGTTCGAGATTCTATAGAAGATCACTACATAGCTCCTAGTTAGAGAATATATATAGAGGCAAGAGTGAAGCCTCTATCACTCTTGTCAATATCTTTCTAGTCCTTAGACTTATTTTAAGACTTTCTACTCTTCAGGTCTTTAACAATAGTCATTCTAGTTAAATAATGTATTATCTTTGAATGATTTTGTAGACTTTTCAAGTGATAGAAGACTGTATTGAGATTTTCTTTCTTTGAAATTCATATCTTTGATACCAAATTCATCATCACACCAAAATCTTTTTATAATGTATCTAAGCTTTTATTCTTTTTAATAACAATTTTTTTTCTTGGAAATAATATAGCGCCACTTTTATTAATAAGTCTTTTCACATTTTCAACTTAAATATTTGATATAATATAAATATTATATTTAAATATATATTATATTATCACATTTTTAATTTAGATCTGAAGAGTAGCAACTTTGGCAAAATTGCTTAAGCTACAACAAAGGCTCATGTCATCATCCTAGCATAAAGGTTTTTATATGAAAAAGAATCTCCATAAATTTCTTCATGTTGATCACACTTGCAAGCTTTTTTAGCTTGAGATACAACAAGCAATTATATTCTATCTGTAATGCGCACTCTACATATTATAGAAAACTCAGTTGAAAAAAGTGATGTTAAATATATTGAAAGCTATAATAAAAAAAGACATAAAAATAATAAAATTAATATATATATATATATATATATATATATATATATTATGCATCAAAAGTTCAATTTTATGTGAATGATATATGTGAAATATATATTAATTTAAAATTTAAAAAAATTTAAAAAAGTCTCAAATATTTCAATATTTATTATCTATCACCTAAAAACTTGTCACTTTATAATGTTTTCTCATAACCTACCGAAATCAACTCAATAAATCTAACTTTGAGCTTCCATTGGCAAACCATCTTGTGATCTTGTACCTATCTAGAAGCCCAAATTGTCAATCTTCTAGTGATGATACTCTGCCATAAATAGATATTCTTCCAATCCAATATAAATATATGTAGGAATTCATCTATAAATAGATATTCTTCCAATTTAATATAAATATATATAGGAATTCATCCATAAATAGATATTCTTCCAATCCAATATAAATATATGTAGGAATTCATTAGTGTTTCAACTGAAGAAGCAATTAGGATCTCAACAACTGGATTCTTAGAAACACACATGGCCTTAACCACTTTGCTTTCTCCAAGTTATCAAAGTTATTTCTCAATAGCCAATAAAAATTAATTTTTTTCTCTTTATCTTATACTTATATTACCTTATATAATAGAATATATATATGGAAGATAATTTTAAAATTGGATTCTATTTTTAAAAAGGTAAAAGTAATAGAAACATGTTAGTAGTTTAAAAAATAAAAATTCTTAAACATATTTAAGTAATTTAGTTTAAATAAATAAATAAAATTGCCATCTCTGAATTCAATATTTGCCAAAAAAATATATAATTGGAAGCTTCAATTGTGTTGAAACATGAACATGGATGAATTATTTCTTTAATATTTATTCATTTATTTCATTGGAAGAAAAAATAAAAAAATAAAAAATAAAAAGAAAACAAGAATATACAATACAAAAACCTCATTGTGCAAATACAGAAGATATCACAAGAGAGAGGATCCATCCCTAATATTCTCTTCTTTACATCTTTTTAATAACACATCCACTAGGTTTTAACTTTTGCCAGGGTTTTGCTTCCATAATACAACTATAGGGCTAAAGTTCTTCAAAAATGTAAAAAAGTTGGTGATGTTTCAATGGAGAATGCAAGGCTTAAAGCCCCTTTTTTTGCTCCGCATAAACATCACCTACTTTTTACTTTTCCGTTGGGGCTACTAATTCATCCATCCATCCATTTGTCATTTTACAACCTTTAGGAACTGTGTGCTCTACTGGGGAGAGATGGATGAATGGGCATATGGATGATATTGTTGATTTCATCCATCCAAGAAGGTGGAGAAGTGCTTGGAGGGGTTCCCCCTGTCCTATTTATTAAATGGCACCTTAGAATATAAGAAAGTCCTCATATATCTAAACTGTTAGGGTTACTATCAGGATTACTATTAGTACTATTAGAGTTATTATTTATGGATATGATACAGCAACATGGTATCAAAGCATGTGTGCATAAATCAAGCAAGGAAATGGAACTCATGTTATGATATTGAAGTGGATGGTGAACTCAAGAAACTAACTAGATCAATTCTTCAAAAATATAATACACATACAAGACTTGTAACATCAAAGAGTATTACTTCAATGACAACCTCAGCAAGGAAAGAACAAAAAATAAATAAAAGAGGCATAGAAAGGATTCAGGCTTCCCTGAGTGTAGTTCTTTAAAACAAAAACACAGACAGACAGACAGACAGACAGAGAGAGATACACACACACACACACACACCTGAAATTAGATTAATTATAAAAATAAAAATAAAAATAAGCTTCTGATGCTTCGTGAATATAACCCATTATTCATTTGCAATAAAATAAGGTCGAAATTCTATAAGAGTCTAATTTGCAACAAAGTCGCTTGATCTAGATGTTAACATGGAGTAGCCACGTTTAATTCCCAAGGAAGAGCACGTTTTTTTAATCCCTAAAATGAAAAATATGCGCCTGTTTTTAATATGGCATTTAAAAACTAAAACTCTGTAATTACATGCATTACCGACAATTAATTTATCCATAAATATAATGGTAAAAACATATAATTGTAAGAGCTTCAAATAAAAGAAATTAACTAGCTGTATCAGAATATAGAAAGCTGTATAAGCATGAACACAATTTTAATTAAGGGATGTGGTAAACACACTAGCTATCACAAATGTTACACAGAAAAATTACGTGCTAAATGAATTCAATTTTATAAGAATGAAAACTAGGTAGTATATTTTCACTGCACTAACATGTGGTTAATTTGAATTCAATCGTTTTGTAGAAAATTCTAATAAAACTAACTATATAAAATACAAACCTTGACTAGTGTTGTTCTTATGAATTCTTGGCAGTCAGTACATGGATACCAATTCTTCTAAATCAATTCATAAATAAAATAGAGATATCAAAGTTATGCTTGAATTGCGAACTGAAAGTTACAAGTCTTGTATGTGTATTATATTTTTGAAGAATTAAATTATATTAATCTAATTGAATAACACATCACTTTGTTGATACCATTCGTATTTGGAATAAACTATATAGTAGTTATTTTTCTTTGTTTGCACTAATGTTGGCCTTATGTTCATAAAAGTAGATGCATCAATTACAAACTTAGAACACTCTACATATATATATATATTTTAAAGATTATATATATATATATATATATATATACATACATAAAACCAACATGATATCTTAAATATATTTTGAAGAGGTGGAAATTAGTTATAATACCATTTCATCAATAGAAGTGCAAATAAAACATCACAATAATAAAACTAAAATAAAAGAATGGCATGCGCTTCTTGTAAAGTGGACAACACACAATTCAATTAAAATCCATTGAATATTTCTGTTTGTATTGAACTTTGATGTTGGATCTCCTCCTAAATCTTTCTTATAAATTAAGACCATATAATAACACAAGAAACAGCTACCAATTCCAATAAGTTTTTTGGATAAACTTATAAATGGATGTAGAGACGGACAACACTTTTGGATGGATGTACACAACCAAATATCACATATACAAATACATAAATGAACGTGTGTGTGTTCTAAAACTAATTCGAAATCTGAAACCCTGGACAAAACAAAGTATTAGAAATGCCAAATACCACTTGCTAGAATAGGTTAAACACGATAATTAAAAAGAAGTTTGTCTCATCGACCCACCTGCAAGAAAAAACCACCAACAACCAGGACTAGTTTAGTCACAACCAACTCAAGTTGTTACAGGATGTGAGGGAGTACCCATTATTATTAACTCCCTCAAAGTCATAGATTCAATAAAGCAAAGATATGCATCTATGACACCCGAATCAGGATGGAAATCGTCTTAGTAAATGAGACTTTGACATTAACCCACAAGTACCCCAAAACGGTATTGAATGAGTCAACAAGGTAAGGCAGTTATGAATGAATGAATGAATGGAAGAAAAGGAAGGATTAGTCATGCCGCAGGTGCAGATCAATGACACAGCAAGGATCATTCATTCATGTTCACACAGCTGCCACCGAATTAACCCCCTCCACGAGGAGAGCAGGGTGGTGCGATTCAGGTGGTGGATAGATTACAATGAATGGGTGCTTTTTATTTTGTTTTATTTCGTTTATTTTTCTCTAGATCCCAGGATTTGTTGGTGTGGCAGCGATGGCGAAATCTCAAGGGAAGGGGTAATGAGATCAGAAAAAGCCAAGGTTGGACCACCGCGAGCAGTAAGAAAAAAGTGGGTGTTTTCAAGGTCACCGAAAAGCTAGACCCAGGAAGAAGGTCCGTGGAGGGGGGGGGGGGGCAGCTGCATCGCGTGAATTATGTGCCGCGACGATGCAATAACGGTGTCATATTGTGGGTCGGAATCCGGCGCATGGAATTCCTGTGACTGCACAGGAACACGATGTCAGTGAGCTGTAGGGGATGATGTTGCAAGGATGTTGCAAGGATGCAAGGATGTTGCAAGGATGTTGCAAGGATGCAAGGTGGTGATGTTGTTGCAGATGATGTTGCCAGTGGTGGTTCCGGATCGCATCGACAAACGGGCTGGATGGGAGTAGGGTGAATAGGGATATGCAGGGAAAGGTAGAGAAGATGAAGACTCTCTCTCGGTTTCTGTTGTTCTGTGCAGGTCCAGGTGCGGTGTGATGTCCAGTGGGTGTGCCGGGGATGGATTCATCCAACGGTGAAATGCACGACATGGGGCTACGGCAGTGAAAATGGAGGAGCGCCTCCAGCCCCAATTAATACAAACTTGGGGTGCGCCTGCCACCCCACAGTGGAGCGTAACAGTTTGGTGGGGCTCCTCGCTAGAAGCCACGCCCTAGTTTATTGCCTTTTTCTCTGCTTTTTTATTTCCCCAAACCCCCCCCCCCTTTCCCATAAACTTCTCCTGGCTTCGTTGAATACAGTCCAGTTCCCAGGGCACTCACCATCGATGTGGAAGTTTGTTAGGCTTAGATGTAGCGACGAGGAGCTGCTCAGGACTGTGTGTGCGTGATGAATTCTTTCTTATTTTTCCAGGGGGGGGGGGGACCATGATGGAGCATGAACTACTTTATTTAGATCCTTCCTAAGGAGGCGGCCGTATCATTCTTGGGCTGAGCGCCTCCTCTATTGCCAACTTTAGCCTGTGATCTATCACATCCATCTAATCTACTTTGTAGAAATCGTTCTTGTCTCCACAGCGGGCCGTTCTCGCCTTCAAGAGTGCCTGCAACTTCGCTACCATCGCCTCCCCGCTCTTGTGCGGACGCAGCCAGCAGTTATTGTTTCACGCCCCCCGTCTCTAGTATAAGATGGCACTGGGACATGTCCTATTGTAGACGCAACTCGCCCTGGTGTAGTGTTCTGGGGTTTAGTGACCCAAGTACTTCGTTGAAGCTTAGGGTTGCCCAGCCTAGGTAGCGCTCGGCGACATGAGTCGTCCAGAGGACCTATGTTGGGTGACGGACCAGGTGCTCATGCCCGTGGTGGACGGGCAGGATTTCTCCGGAGAGGGGGACCTTTGATGAGGAATTTGTAGTTTGGGTGCTGAAAGTGTTGCATTCTAAGCGTCCGAGTGGGGAAAATGGTCACTTCATGCGGGTAATTGCCTGAAGTACCAGGAGTGCCGGTTGTTGAAGGACACTGAAGTGTGTACATTCTGTGAACCGCGGGCTAGCGCGCGAGGAAGGCGGTTCTCACCATTGGACGACCTATGATGTACTGATGAAAGGGGCAAATTCTTTAGGCATGTGATATTGGTGGCGCTCAATCAGATGACCATGCCTGTGATGCTGGCGTTGCCATCAGATTGAGCCGCGCCAATATCACATCCTTACTTCTCTATCTCTTGAATCTTATTGCATTCGTTGCTGTAATGCGTGTATTGTGTCCCTTAGAACCTAACTGTCTATTGCTGCCTCTACGCCTTTAACATCCGACGATGCTGGAATTTATCAGGCTGTCTGTATGAGGTTGGCGCAGTGTTTCATATTTGTCATGCATTTATTCTGAGTTTCTGTGGTCCCTTCGATCATTTTTCTATGGGGTAATGGATCAGGATACATGACTCTGAGACTTCCCTTTTGAACTTCTTTCGCTATTGCACCTCCATGAATTTGTAATGCTTTCCAAAGAATTTCAATGCACCCTGTCTAACTGTTAACCTGTTCTTGCACTCTACAGGTTCTTGGTGCTCAATATCTCGAGCTCTAAGGAGCCGATTCAGCCTTTATGTGGACTTTCTGTACTCATGCGGGATCGTTGGGTACAATAGTTGTTTACGCCTGGATTGTTGATACGCTGAAGTGCTTGTTGTGTTCGGTTTACCGTTTGCTTCTTTCAATGGTTGCCGCTGCGCCCGTCCGCTCCCCCAGCAATCTACTACCAAACTCACGCAAACACTATCGTGATAAGTTCTCAACCGAGTTAACTCAGGTCACGGCGATGGTTCTCCTCGTAGGTCATGATCTCGTATATTCCAGCGTCAAACTCCCCGCTGGGTTGTGCCTCCCATTTTTCGGCGAACCCGCTTGCTCGGCAGGCAGCCGCGACGAATAGGAAGTTGAGTAGCCTCGCCACCGGTTTTGGTTATAATCGCATTACCCTGTGGACTCCAAGATTGTCGGGATGAAAAAACCAAGTAACGGTGACGAACATATCGATGAAATTACCAGTAAATACCTGGAGCTTCTCAGACGTGCATTTTCAACCCCTATTGACGGCTTTCATAAATGCGTGGGTCTCCTGTGTAGGCATTTGTTGTGGCCCTAGTTTCCATATGATCGCCTTAGGACCTTAGCATGCATGTAGCATTCATTCCTAATTGCTTGACTTCTGGGTTAGCGCTGTAAAATATGTATTACATTGACCAGAGACCTGCTCAGAAATGGACATGTGGATACGTTTTGTTAGACGAAGCTTGTGAATGTAAAAACACATCATCACTATTACTTTCTATTATATCCTGTAATTTAATTGCATACAGTCAAGTCTGAACACTTCACCTAAGGCAATTAACTCTGGCGAATCATAACCACATGTGAAATTCTTCTTGCACTATTTGTCCCTATTTCACCTACACAGTTCCATATGTGGTAAAAATAATGAGCAACACTTTCTACTACGATGTTAATAGTAAACAAACTCCACTGTATAGTACCGACATGTAGTTTTATGTAGTTGGTGGAAGAGTCCCACTCATCTCAAGTGCACATTATTCTTCACTATGTGCATACTTCTGTGATGTGCCATCGTAGGCGATACCCATTTCATCAAAAAGTCTACACGGTATTGTTCCAGAATAATCACCTTGACGTAAGCGAGGTAAAGTAAATCACTTCAACTTGCGTGTTCGCAGTGTGACAATGTTGGGTTACGGACTTTAACTCTGAGTGTGACAAATCACTTATCCTTGTTTGTGCCGAACAGATTAGAGTGTATGACAAATAATGTGAATATAGCTCTTTGGAAAAGTGATCTTTGTGTGAAGAAGTATGCTAGTTACCTTGATACTATGAAAATTCCTCTTAGTCGCTATCAACATTTAAGTCTCTAATACTTACATTAACTAAACATCTCCTAATTCTTCCAATAAAATGTGCATTGTTTTACTTCGGACTTATTTAATAAGCAGTAGATCAATTATCTGGTAATTGAGCATGTGCAACTTCACATTGAAGCCTGAGTATTCATCACAATCGTCCAGTGGTGGAACTGTCACCCGAGGGACCATCTCGTGGTAACACTTGGGGAATCTGCGCATGGATTTTGACAGAATCTTAAATTAGGTATATAGTTCGTCAACTGTAGTTGCTTACAGCTACGGGAATCTTCTCAGTCGAAAAGCCAATCGGTGCCGTTCCATGTTCGATAGCATTTATGTGGTGCAACTTTAGGAAGTCTCTACATGGCTAAATGCATCGTACTTTATTCTTGTCGATGAGTCGTTAGGACCTACCAGCATTGATTTGAATGACGGCTTGCGGCAGTGTCATCCGAAAACCAAAGTGTTCATTATCGATGCTGATCAGAATAGTCTACTTTCTTCTCCTGGACAGAAGGAACTTCAGAAAAGCATCCCCCATCGAATGATAGTTTTGTGTTGATTGGGTCCTACATGTGCCAAACTTGTTCGTATTCGCTCACTCTGGCGACTGCTCTTAAGTACCTCGAAGCTTGCTCGTTTCCCTGCAGATTTCGTGTATGAAGGTCTGATCCTCTACGGAGATGAGTCCTTTGATGAATGATGCAAGCATTTGAAAATTTCATATTCATGAACTCCTTGCTGATGTTAACAGTGTGGGTGGCCGGGAATGTGGACTGACTTATTCCGTGATGCATGTGTCATTCGTGACATCTAAGACCCGTTGGAGTTTCTTGCAATTTCCTAGAAGAAACGCGGCGATGAATCAGGTTATGGGCGACTGCCATAAATTCACCTGGTATATACTGTTTCAAAAATATTCTACACCTCGTGGTGAGCAAAGTAGAGCTCATCTCCATGTTTCTTCCTTTTCCATGATTGGACTATTTTCGTTATATCATTTGTAAACTCAATCGTGGTCTAGCTAAAATTACTGAAATCCTGGCTGAAGAGCAAACACGAAAACGAAGTGTGTAACAAATTATCTAACTGTCTTTTCAACATGTGCATGTGATAATCCGAGAAATAATATTTGAGAACCTCTGTTAGCTGGCATACGGGCAAAACAGTTAGCTCAATCTTTGGTTTTCAATGTGTTTGTAGATCCCAGTCGTTACAAACGTACTTCTAATATGCTGCTTTTAATCGATTGATCTTTGTTCTATGCAAAACACTAGAAAATTGTTTCTCTCCTTTACCAATGTCAAGCTAATTATAAGTTAGAACTGGCAAATCCCTGAAGAGAATGGCAACTTCTCTGTAAGCCTTTTAATCACGGTAGAGAGTTATCAGATAGATATGCTGTTAGAATACTTTCCAGTATTCTAACGTGCATCTTGTGCACACAGGGTGCACTGCGCCAGCCGATTATCAGAGGGAGTGCCAGTCTGAGTTTTCACTGTGTTTCCAGGTGTGCCTTCAGCTAATGACTTACAGTTAGTACTCTGTATGGTAATTCTGCACTAAATGGTGTGGAAATTTACAACTAATATAATCACTCTTGTTTATGGAGCGTGTCATGATTGAGTGTGAAAATGGTACATATGATTCCGAAAACATGTGAAATGTGCACTAGAAAGCGTTTGCCATTACCATTTCCTCCGTGTTACCCGCGAAAAAGAACGCTTCTTCACAACCTTTCGAATTGCCCTTCAATAGAGTGCAAATTTGTGAATGAAATCGAAAATTGTAAATCTCGCAGTTATATCTCTTATTCATCTCATCTCAGTCGTACTTATGCTCCTATTGTAGGTTTTAGTACGTGAGAGAAGCATGTATAAATCACATGAATCATATGCATTGACTATGGGCAACTCATTCCCCAGGGATTTCGATCCTTCAACCTGGTATTGTAGTACATAAACTTCCGTGTGAATCAGTTTCGAGGAAGCTGGATATCAGGTACAGACTGAAAATATTTCCAAGACATGGTTCTTGAGGACTAGTTCTAGGTACACACACAATACAACTTGTCCTGAAATTGAGAGATACCTAGTGATTTTCTTGGTCCATTTTTAGACAACCCCATAACCGTCGAGATGGCATCCTCTGGACACTACCATGGCGGTTTTTCTCTACTTCCCACCAACATCGAGAAGGTTCACTGATTTCATCAAAACATGCAAATCTCAGAAGCTTAAAGAAGTTTTTACTTGATGGGAGAGATACACTTGCTACGTCGGAAATGACATGTGACAGGTTATGAACATGTTCACATAGGAGCTCTCTCAAAACAGTCAACTGTTGACTTGGTAAGAATTCTCTCTACCATCATTCACATAGACGAAGTATCGTATCTGAGCAGTTGGTCTGGAAGAGTTGAAGCATGCAAGATATTACTACGATGATATAAAAGCTTATCAAGTTATTACTTGTAACGATACTTTCCATGAAACTTGCTAAATGCGACTATGACCACTCAACACGATCATTGATATGTCCTTTAGTATCTCGAATAAAGATATTCTGCTCTGCATACCTCATCCTGGCAAGGCCATTTGGAGCATGAATTACTTCAGACTATTCCTGAATTGTATACCACTAATCCAAATGGTTGCAAAAATAGTCTATTGATATGTGATAAGTTGATGACACAGGAGTGGTACATTTGGACTGGAGACAGTGGGAGCTACCTACTCTTGCTCTATCTTCCAAGATGGAAAACGGCCGTCGAGTAAGGTCAACAACTAATGTGCATGCATATGCCTGGATTTTTATACCTACAGATGGAATTGGAAACCTACAACGACATAGATGAGTAATCTGCGCTACAAGGTGGAAAAACACTAACCTCGTAGAAGAGACAGGAGTGTACACAAGGTGAACACTTACACAGCATGTATCAATACTGGTAACTATGTCATAATTTACCATTTATTATTCAACTAGATTTGATTGTAGCCAAATAGAACGTCCTACATATCTGCACTGAAAAGCCGTAGTAGGGATTCAGTTTATTCGTGGTCGAGTTCTAGCGAGTTCCTGAAAAGCCTAGAAGATGAACTGGAACACATCGACCATTTCGTCCGTACCTGGCAACAGCCGAAATCTTGACAATAGTACCTTTGTGAGTCGTGATATCGAGAGGGTTGAGATTTAAATTGAAGGATTCGAGTTCCCGAGACTCATCCTGAACAAAACGGGCCATGTTTTCGCAAAATTGTTCAGTCTATCTCTGAAAAGCTATTGCAACTCATCATTACAAAACCAACTACGTCTAGGCATGATACAGGTGACGTGGGACTGATTGTATTATGCTGTCTCTGAAAAGATTTCGTCCTAACTCGCAATAGTACTGCAGACGAAATCGTCATATGAGCCTATTAAAGTCAAACAGATAAATTCATTAATGAGATGTTTGTGCCAGTCACCAACTTACATACTTTTCTGGGTCTACACGTCGATGGGGCCTTGGGCCTGTCGGTCTCGGACGTCCAAGTTGGGCGACAGCCGGTCGGAGCTGAGAGATGCGAAGAAGGAAGTAGATTTGCGAAGATGCGATGAGGAGTGGCGATGGTCAAACGCTGCACGGCTTGAAGTACCATCCATCCCAGACAAAAAGGTCTTAGCGGTCGTGCTCTAAAAGATACCAACTTCCTTCGGGAGGAAGAAGACTACAGCTCTGACAAGCAAGGCTGGCTTCAAAAGGGAACACAACGAGTCGCTCAGCAAGTCGACTGGAAAGAGACCTTGACTAGAGCAGGGTAGGACGCCCTGCTGGTGTCAAAGAGAGTCTGCACAGCACGACCATGAATACAAGAGTGTGTTTGGCAAAAGTGTGACGCAGCAGTTGCGAGTAACCGGGAAATACTAGAGGAGTAAACAGCAACTAGAGGCTATATCTTACTCGTCTTCTGCAATCGTAGATCATAGTCAGACAGGCGGCGTCGCTTTGCAACGAGGCCAAGGACGAAGAACCATCCACACAAGCTTCACAAGGCGAACTCGACCGACGAAAAATAGATGGGTATCCCATCAAAATCTGAGACACAAGAAAGAAAATCCAGACTACCTTTTATAAGACAACGACCTGCGTTCGACACACTCTTTGTCTTGCGAAATCCGAAGTACACACAATCAGGGCCTTAAGACTGCTGAATCTATGGACCGCAAAAAGAGCCGTGGGCTTCCCCACTCATGGCCTACCTTTCGCACGATTAGTGCCAAGCCAACACCAGGTCGCCTAGGTGCACGGTTCTCAAAAATATGGATTTTAATTACGATGCCTCACATTCTCTTTCTTCTCTTCGTAAAAATTCGAACTGTTAAAAGAACTTCTGAGTGCAGCTGGAGGACCTTGAACTGGGGGATGAAGTGACTCTCAGGAGCACCTGGCTCTGTAATGTGAGGAGCATTCTAGAGTAGGAGCACTGCTAGCATTTTATCCTAGGATTAAGTAATTGTTCAATTGCAGTAGTTAGGGGCACTGAACCTCACTCCAATCTCTTTCTTGTACTTGCATCGTGCATTGTTGTACTGTAATTGTTTATAGTAAATAAAAATTAATTAGAACAAATGATATGTTTACAAGTATTGATGTATATAAGAGTGGTTAGTAGGTTAATTTAAAGAGAATTGATATAGGAATATTTATTTTGAAGTTTACCTATTTTAATTATAGTGTTTAAATTATATAGAATTTAGATATTTAGTATAAAGTTTTAAGAGAAGATTGGAGCTCAAAGGTGAAGATTCAAACTACTAAGAAGCTTATTTGGAGGGATGAAAGCAAGGTATGAATGGATGAAGGTAAGAAATGAAGGTCTTCATCTCTATTGGTCAAAGGTCATGATCAATAGGCTTTCATCAAGCTATCTCTGACCATAAGAAGGATTTTGGCAATTTCAAAAGGAACATTTAAAAATTAAAAATAAGGGTTGTAAGGTTTAGAATTTGGACTACAATTTGTCTACAAAATTTAGAGGACTTGGAGTATAGGTGAAGAAGTTATAGCCATTTGAAGTTAAGGGGTGTTTTAAGATATATTATTGGTCTTTTGAGGATATGAGGAATTGTACAACAACTTTTGGAGATTAGAAGGTACAGTTATAAGTGTAATTTTAAGATCTACATCTATCATAAGAGAATTATTATATTTAGAGTTTGTATGAAGGAATTATAGGGAGTTGAAGACAACATAAGTAACTCAAGGGTAATAAGTAAATCATTTTATTGATAGTAATAGTTGGAGCCATATTTTAAGTTTTTGGATAAGTTTTGAACTCAAAGTTTTTGAAAGTGTGAATTATTAGGATAAGAAGATATATACCAATTTTTGTGGTATTCAAGTGATTAGTTTGTGAGACATAAAGAAAGTTGTATGTGGGTGTATGTAAATAGGGGTTTGAAGCTATTGTTATGATTTTGGTAATATTATAAGATTTAGAGTAAATTTATAATTAATTTTTTTTAATAGTTATTTAAAATATATTAGTACTTCATATAAAATTTGAATTTTTTTGGACTTTCCAATTGTAAAATATGAACTATTGAAGTTTAGAAAAAAAATTCTTTAAAGAAATATAAGATTTTCAAATATTTTTATCTTATTTTGGCTATTCTTTGGTGCTTAGGACTTATGTATTGATGCAATTGCCCCTATAGGGAAAATTTTATATATAAACTTATTTCTTTTTTATTTTGAAACTTGATTGAGCAATTAATGATAGCTAAAAGCCTAATACTTTCTTGAAGCAAATTCTCTCTACTTTGAGAATGTAATTTGACTTGAATTAAGTTGTCAAGGCAAGGATTGAAGCAACGTAATTCAAGGCAAGGATGGCTCATACTTCAATGGCACCTACTATATCAAAGGATGAAAAGTAAGTAGCAATAGCATGCAAGTATGATCAAGTGGAGCCAAAGTTAATAACTAGGACAACAAATCTAAGCAAATTTTCATCTATCAACCTAATTTTTTTTATTTTAAGTGAAGTTCTTGAGGATTTATTCTACAATAGAATTAGTTTTTTTTTATTAAATTCTTAAGTGATTGAAGTGCATTTAGATGGAGAAAAAATAAATGCAAAAATAAACTACTTATAACAATGTATTATCATTGCTTATCTTGTCAAAGAACAACTTTCCAACAAAACCTTGCAAGTTTGGCTTGGATAATCGAGAGTAGCATTTTATTATGTATATTCTTGCTTAAGAACACATCAGGGGCCTAACTATAGAAGGTAAGTAGAAATGGAAGAACAATCCTATCAAGTCTAATAAAATCATAAATAACCTTAAGTATACCTTAATAATTATGATTGAACTTGGATCAATCCAAAATAATTTTAAAAGAAGTTATAGAAGAAACACAAAGAAGTTCCAAAATGATTCCAAAGAAAAATAATAAGAAATCTTTAAAAAATATAAAAATAAACTTTTAAAAAAATCATAAAAATTTAAAAGAAATTATTTAAAATCAAAAATTTTAAACAATAAAGAATCCTAAATAAATACTAAAAATAAAAATCTAATATAATACTAATTAAAATCTTAATTAAACCTTAACCAAATCTTAGATCAAATTCTAATAGAAAACTTAATTAAATCTTAACTAAATCTTAGATCGAATCTTAATAAAATCCTAATAAAATTATAAATTCTAAAAAAACCCTAGATAAATCTTAATCAATCTCTAGTCAAGTTTTAAATCAAATTCCAAGTAAAATCTAATATTAACCAAACTATAGACAAACTCTAAACCAAATCCTATAATAAATTAAAATCTCAACAACTAATGATCAAATTATTTATATTGACTCAAAATTTCCACACTCCTTAATATCTTAATTAGAAACAAGCAAAAAAAAGATGAAATTGATCGTACTTACCAATTGAAAGAAATGCAAGATAATCCAATCAAGTATTGGACAACTTTCTACTCTAATCTAAATGCTGAACTTCTAGCACCAATACCCCCTTCTTAAACCATTGAACAAATGTTGAATTTCTAGCACAAAAATCAAGTAATCCTCAAATTTGTAAACATATTGGTATTTTGCAAAAATTAAACCAACCAAGAATATTACTAACTTTGAAAATCTTTCAATAACTCAATATTGATTCAAATGATATAAAATCAACATCCAAACATCTTTCTTTAAGTTTGCTCTCAAATCCCATTCTTTAATCTACCAAAGAACTCTAATTTCACTATAGGTGCATGGTTTTATATCTTAAGATCTAATTTTGATTCAAGTTAATAATTAGTCTTTTTTGAATGTCAATTTTTGGTAATTTGAGATAAAATTTGCTAAAATCTACTTTTAATTCCCTCCCACATATGCCTATATTATTTAATTTTGCAACCTACTTTGTTTTGCCTTATTTATGGTCCTACAAAGTAAGTAGAAGCTTATTTTATATTTTTTATTTTATAAATAGCAGCATTAATATATTTTAATTTTATCATCTTTTTGACTATTATTTATATTTCTAAGATAATTTTTTATAATATTTTAAAATAAAATCTTCTATAATATAATGTTTTCTTCTCTCTTTTATTCATTTGTCATATTACATCATCATAATGGAGGTAAGAGAGGACATGCAATTCAATTGAGTATCAAGGACATGAATCATACACTCTCATATCACTCAAAAAGACTAAAAAAATACTCAATGGTGGTATAATATTAGACTAGAATGACTATTATCAAAGATTAGAAGAATAGAAAGTCTTGAAACAAGACTAAGGACTATAAAGATGTTGATAAGAGTGAAGAAGGCTTCATTCTTGCTTCTATATATACTATCTAATTAGAAGTTATATAAAGATATTCTATAGGACCTCTGATACAAGTCCAATTTATAGAATATATGTCTTAATTTGAAAGATGAGTTTCTTATATGTCTGCCATATTGTTAACTTGTATTATAAGCTATTAATATGTCCAACAAGTGACTAACTTCTTGGCTAAGTTTTTAACCTATCAATCACCTACAAACATGTGTAAACACGAAATTATATTTATATAGCTTTTAATAAGCTTCTCTATAAGATATTATCAAATTAATCTACTTTTATATATTCTTAATACCTAAATAACTATTGGAGTCAATATGTATGTCTGTGATATGAAGAGCTTAGGCATGGATTTTTTCAATTAATGAGTAAGAACAAAATTTCATCTTAGAAGATTCTTATGCAAATCTTATATATCTTATAGTAGGGCATATGCATTTTTTAATTGTAAAAAGTGGGATTCAATTCAAGTTGCCTCATCAACATGAAAATGCCAATGTGAATTACATTCAAATCAATTCTTAATAAATTTTTGAGTGGCGCCAAAGACCTTATATAAAATCTTGAATTAATCTTGTAAAAATATAAATACACTGAAGCAAGATCAAATATAAAGTTTTGCATTGCTCTTACAAATGGTAGCTTGTATAATATTATAATAAGTATATTTAATTATATTATTAATATCACTACAAAAATTCAAGTAGATTATAATAATTTACCAATCCAATTTAAATATTATTTATCAATTTTACACTTGATATAACAATGTTTAGCAATTCAATACTAATAGTAAGTTAAGTTAATAGTAATGCAATATTAAACAATGCTATCAATAAAATATTAATAATCAGGCAAAAGAAGTTAAATTCACAAGAAAAAACCACTCCTTGTAGCCAAAAAGACTTGAGGTTGCCATTAACTCCAAATGCACAAAAAATAGTAGAATCACTAGGAGAGACTCCAACAACTAATAATATTGCTAGCTCCAACAGTTTGGTAAGGAGAGATAGATATAAGTATAATCATAAAAATAGGATTAGCATAGATAGGATAGATCTTAGGAATCTGAAACAAAAAAGTCTTCAGTGAGCAACATGGCATAGCCACAAAGTAGGAAGAGGTTGGAAATCTTCATCAAATAGTAGTGAATTTTTTAATATCAATGAATTCAATAAGATACAAAATGATTAGACTAATTTACAGTACAAGAATTCACACAAAGAAGTAATATTTGTACCACCAAAGAAGATTAATCTCTC